CCTCCTTCAGACCACCCATAGACAGAAGACTTGTCTCAGTTTCTGTATAGATGCATAAGATGTTACTTGGACTTTCGATATGAGGAGAGCTCCTTAGTCCTTTTATGTACAGAGCTTTCTTACATGGAAATTCTATTCAGACATTCAATAGACTTACTCTATATAGTGATTTTATAGACAAGATACATTTCTATAGACAGTAGTGCTTCCTAAGGAGATTTGCTCAGTTCTCCTACTCCTAGGAGTCCTACCTCAGTCTTCCCATACACAGAAGTCCTTTATCAGTAGAATTTATGGCAGAGGACCTTCCTCAGGCCTCCTATACACATAACTCTTTCTTCTCCTCCATAAAATCAAGCATTTAAAAAAAATTAATTCCTTAGGTCATATGTTGAAAGACGTTCTTCTTTCTCCCCGTATACAGAAGAGCTTCTTTAGGGTATCTATAGACCGAAAGCTATTTTCAGACACAAGCATTATGTAAACATAATTCATTCCTTATATCATATGTCATTTTTCTTTCCATTTTATAGACAAAAGAGCTCCCTAAAGCTTTTTATATACAGAGGGCAGGAGTACTTCCTCAGGTTATATGTGGGTATTTTTCTGATCTATCGAATCATAACCTAACCTATAGAAAGTCTTTTATTTAAAATATCTATTCAAAAGCCTTTTTGTAAGGATATTTATGGCAGCTTTAATATCTCTATAATAACTTCTGTCTAGAGAATATTTGCAGGATGGTTTCGTTTATGGAATAGTCAATTCAAGGTTTTCTAAGAAAATTAGACCGGGACTGTTCTGTACCTTGCAGACATATAAAACGTATTATAACTACATAGTTCTCCGAAAGGGTTTCTAAAACTTTAGTAGGTTTTATCCGTCCCATGTAACCCCTTTCTGCACATAAAACGTTTTCCTGCAAATCGTTCGACTCTTTAACAAAGTAATTAAATACAACAGGAAGATTCAGTACATCCCCTCCTTTTTAATTTTGGCAAAACGAAAAATTATTGAATTTTGTTTCCCATCGACAACGGCACAGAGCAGACACGCTTCCCACGCATTCTGCACCCCTATATATAAAAAAACAAAGAACCAAATTACAATCAGACACCGGTGGTGTTGTCATGTAAAACGATCTTCATTCCCTGTTGTATCCAATCCAATTGTGTTCCTCTGTCCCAGCTATAAGAAAATCTATTGATAACAGAGATTGCCAAGGCGAAGCAGGTGATTTACTTTGCGCAAATAGTTAAACAGCAATAACAACAACCGCACACACACACAAAATCTTCCGTATGTCGCCAATCCGTTGGGTTCTTCCTACCAAATAACAGATTGGAAAAAAATCCATCCAAATCAAAAACAAAACATTCAAAGTGTGGGAATTTAGGGTGCACACTTTCTCACGATCGATCTCGGGGGTTCTTACTCTCCTCTCCATTATGTAGACGACGAAGACAACAACGACAAGTGATTTCCTTTACAAAACGGATCACTGCCGTTCGTTGTTGTTGTCAATTTTATTTATTTTTTTTGGTAATGTGAGTGTCGTGAGTGTTTGTGCTACTCTCTCATTCATGTCATTCCTGCAGTCATTCGGCCAGCCATTCATTCATTAATGCACTACCTCCGGCCAGGCATCAGCCAGACCAACTCGTTCGTATCGCATGTTCGTTGTTTGGTTTCCTTCCATAACAAGGCATGCGTGCGTGTGTCGTTCGTATGATCAAAACCGATCACCCTACCGACCTCAGTAGTCACCCGACCCGATCAATGCAGTGCAGGGAATTTACAGTTTTTGCCTTTAGTTTTCGTGTGTCTGGGGAGGAAGTGAGTTATACAGACACACGCAATATTGTTGCCATCAAGGCAATAACCACCACTGCGAGAACTCATAAGGCCTTTTCATACAGAATCAAAGACGAGAGAGAGAACCGTGGTTGGGTGCAGCATTGTGTACTCACACTCACTTTGGACATGCAGTTAAACACGAGACGATAACAGCAGCAACAACAACATCGATCGACGACTTTATTGATCTTGAAGTGAGCACGAGAATGGCTCACCCAATATTTGTAGTAATTGACGGGATGGCTGGCTGGCTGTCTGTCTGTGGCTGGCGCTCACTGAAATATGCTTCAATTTTTTGGTGGGTATTTTCGATTAATGGGATCGTGGGACACTCTAATTAGTTATCTTCTTAGAGGGGAGCCGTGATTAGTTTGTATTTGAGGAGATGATGTACCCTCTTGTGTTTAGAGTGTAATTACAATGGAGGAAAATATCGATTGTCCTCTAATTTACAGAGTCTGTCATTATTCCTCCACCATCATCTAAATCAGTGTTTTGTGGAAAAGTCTTATGCAAGTAGGTTTTCAAGGCTTCTATAGACTAAAGGTCTAACCCGGAATTTCTATAGACATACAATTTCCTTAGAGTTTTCTCTTGCCAGAAACCTTTATTAACTATTTTAAAAACATAATTTCTATTGACAGACAATTTTCTTCAGGTTTTCTCTTGCCAGGAACCCTTATCCACGATTTTAAAAACATAAGAAATTCTTCAGTTTTTTTTATAGATAACTGACTTTCATCGTTGCATCTGCTGACATATCAGATCATCTAAAACAGATACCGTCTGCAAGTCTTCTATATACCAAGGAAACACTATATCCTTTATTCATCTTCCTTGAGATATATATAGTCAGCCAGAAGCTTATGTTTTTTTGTGGCAAGAGAAAACCTAATATCTATTGACCGACAATTTTCTTCAGGTTTTCTCTTGCCAGGAACCCTTATCCACGATTTTAAAAACATAAGAAATTCTTCAGTTTTTTTTTTTTATAGATAACTGACTTTCATCGTTGCATCTGCTGATATATCAGATCATCTAAAACAGATACCGTCTGCAAGTCTTCTATATACCAAATACTTTCATCTTCCTTGAGATTATATAGGCCAAAGCTTTTTGTGGACTAAAGGATATAGTGTTTCCTTGGGCATCCTATAGAGACAGGATTTCTCGCAGGCACTTTATAGATCGAGGGCCGTCTTTAGACAGAATACCTTTCTTAGACCTGTTATGCATAAAATGGCTTTCATAAATCCTTCCTCCGGACTTCATAAAATCTTACTCAGAAGTCATTCCTTATGCCTTCTACAGACCATACCGAAGTCTTTCTATAGTCGCCAATAGACAGAAGACCTTCTATATACCCTTCCCAAGCCTTCTATAGATAAAAGATGTAACTCAAACCTTCTATAGATAGGTTATATATAGAATTACGTTCTTTCGTCCCTCATCAGATTCCTTTTTGATATAACAGCTTACTCAGACCTTTATTATATAGATTCCTTATGCTTTCTACAATTAGTTAGAGTTGGGTAATTCCCGAACGAACTAGTTCATTGGAACTATTCCGATAAAAGAACGATAGGAAATAGGTCTAGTTCTTTGGTTCCTATAGTACATAGGTCCTCCCTCAGGTTTTCTATTCATAGAAGTCCTTCCTCAGACCTTCTTCAGGCCTTCCACTTCCTCAGGTCTTCTTGTAGACAGAAGTAAGATGTTACTCAGACCTTCTATAGAAATATGTTCTTCCTCAGGTTATCTCTAGACAGAAGAGCTTCCTTAGGTTCTTTTACAGAAGTTCTTCATTAGACCTTCTGCAGGCAGAAGCCTTCAACAGATCTTCTAAAGACAGGAGCCTTTCTTTAGGACGTCTATAGACAGAACATCTTCTTCGAGCCTTCTAGAGGCACTAGGCATTGTCCTTCTCAGATCTTCCTTAAACAAAAAGATTTCCCTCAGGTCCAAATAAATGTTCAATCCTTCTTATAAAATTGTCCTTCTTCAGACCGTTAAATTCTTTTTAATGGTTTCATATGGACAAAATGCCTTCTTCCTAACGTATTCTTCAGGTTCTTCTGCAGACGTATGACCTTCTTCAGGTCTGTGCGAAATCTATTCTATTGACAGGAGACCTTTCCTATATATTTTGTACACTATTTAGACATAAGGTTCTTCCTCAGATCTTTCTCAGAAAAATACCTCCCCAGGTCCAAATATATAAAGACTTTCTTGGAGTCTTCTGCAAGGATTTTCTTCAGGTTCTTCTACAAATAGACCAATTTCATGGGGATATGTATGTACCCATAGAGATAGACCATAAGCTCTTCTAATGACAGGTATTTTATAGACCTGTAAACATTTTATAGAAATGTGACATCGTACTTTTGAGTATTAAAGTCCCCCAACAGGAACTCTTAAAACTTCAAGGACTCAACTGATAGATTTTGTTGCAATTTATTAGCTAAAAAGTAAGTCGATCAGGCTGTAACTGTACTTTCTCTACTACAACCCTGATCACCTAATAATCCCCTCTTTATTCTCTTCAGTATACAGTTTGTCACAATGAATATGATTTGCACCAGTTTTTCGATTAGTCGAAATCAACAGTCACTATACAGGACATTTCTCCCCACCCCTTCAGGAGGAGGCAATGAACGAACGGAACATAGGGCCCATGCACATGTAACCTATGCTTTCAAATACAGGTTGCCATAGCAAGTGAGCAGAATTCTTGTTTTGACCAAAATTTTAGGGGTGGTTAGAAGAGTACCTGCTACATAGCTTAACATAACAAGTAAACCAACCACCACCACCTCGTCATCGTCTGTTGTGTACGAATGTTTTGTGCACTTTGTGGCACAAAAATCACTTGTGCACTCACACACATACGCACACAGGTTCCAATACTCTCTGCCACTGTAGTCCAATTGTGGTGGATCGTTGGCTGTATGGCTGCTGCTGATTGTGGTACATAAAGGATCGTTTAGCTTACGGGCAACATCATTTCCAATTCAGCTACCGTACAGCAAACACTTGCCAATATTTTCATTCTTCTTTTTTTGGGGGATTTTACACTCCAGCTCATTTGTCTTTGTCATTCATCGTTCGTTCGTTCATTTCGTTTCGTGATCACCGTCAAAAATAATGGCTGTTGATGGACAAAAATTTATGACCAAAACTCAGCATTACCGCAAAGTGACAAAACCTTTGTTGGAACGAAAGAGACGGGCCCGCATGAATCTCTATTTGGAGGAGTTGAAAGAATTGATTGTGGATACCATGGAGGAGCAGGGCGAACATGTTAATAAATTGGAAAAGGCTGATATTTTGGAGATGACAGTATCCTATTTGAGAAATCAGCAAAAGGAGGCAAGGCAACCATTGCTGTACTCCAGCAATAATAACAACATCAGTTCGAAGAAAACTTTAAATGTGGAAAAGTTTCGTGAAGGATATACCCAGGCTGCCTATGAAGTTTCCAAGATTTTCTCCACTGTACCGGGAATAGATCGTGGTTTTGGTACACGGCTAATGAAACATTTGGGTTATCAGCTGAAGGATATTAAGCAGCAGTTATTTGCCAATAACATGAATCAGTCGTTGCTGGCCAATATGGAGCAACAACAGCAGCAGCAACATCAAATGGCTCTCAAAGAGGAAGATGTTTGGCGTCCATGGTAAACAATGAATGGAAACAAAATAAAGAGTAATACTATAAAGTGGCGCCCAACAGGCTCAGGAAAACAAAACGAATTTATCATCACCACCACAACCACCACCTACACTGTCTCATAATTAAGAAGCTTTATTAGTATTTAAGCCAAGTTAAGAACAACAACACTGCCTTGCCTTAAAACACAATCTCTGTGTTCTTTTATTTTTTAAGTGCTACGATATTTTTTTGTATTATTTTGTGATAAACTGTGATAGATTTTAAGAAGAAAATTTTTTTAATGGTACAACAACTGCAAGATCTCGAAAAAAATGAGGGACAAGTTGATATATAAAGAGTTTTAAGCTTTAATTTAGTTTGTAAGCATAACGAAACATGATCTTCCACAAATAATTTTAAATAAATAGAACAAATACTTTATAAAAAATACATATTATGTTTCTCTAATTACAAGTGTTGGTGCATACTTTTAGGAGTGTGGGGGAAATTTGGGGAAAACATGAAATTTCACTTCGTAGGTAAAGTAAGATTTTCCCATCAACAAGAAAATCTACACAGAATTTTACAACAAATTCAATTATGAAAAAGAAAATTTATTAAATAAAAGACAGCGAAGGTGTAGCATACTTTTAGGAGTTCAGAGTAGAGTTCAAAGGAAATTGTGAAGATGCGTTTCATATATTTATTGCTTTCAAAGAAGAATATCATCCATAAACGAAAGATTATTCTCAGATCTTCTAGAGATAGAATAATTTCTATAGGTCCTCCTACAGGCAGCGTGGGTTCTGCATAAAGAAAATACTTTTACCACTACAAAATGCATGTTCCCTATAAATAGACACATTTTTAGCAGGTCCAATGTAGGTAGAAGAGCGACCTTTTATAAGTCGTTTAAGAACGTCTTCTCTATAGACCAATGACTCTGTACAGGACTATTTTGAACAGGAACACGTCCCAAAAATATACCATGAAGCATCTACGGATCTCCTATAGGCAGATTACCTCTTACAGTGTCTTCCACATACAGAAAGCCATTTGCAGTACTGTTCTGCCTTTATTCGGTCTATAGAATATTTGAGGACAACATATTAATTAGAACAAGTCAGGTATTTGAAGATAGTGGTCTACTAATCTTCTATATACAGAAGGCTTCTTAGTAGAATTAGAACAACACGACAGGCAAAAAAAAACTTCTTCAAGTGGAATGTTTAAAAAGGAAATGCCCTCAGCAGAACCTTCTTCATGGAGGAGGCCTTGTATGGAGCACCTCCCAAGGATTTTCCATGAACATACGACTTTCTACAGGTCTTCAATAGGCAGAAGACGTCTTACAAAATTTTCCGCATACAGAATGCCTTAACACAAAAAATCACTTACATGTCTGGTGCATACAAAAGTCCGTCCACTGATCTTCTATAGACAGAAGACCTCTTAAAGCTTTTCTACAAGCCAGTGTCCTAGAGGCCGGAGACTTTCAATTGGTAGAAAACATCTTAATACTGGCTTGTTACAGAACGGTTTTTCCATAAGCCGAGCTTAAAAAAGATATCCAAGCGCGGCGGTCTTGTGCGCATCTCCTCCATGTTCCAAGATGTTGTTTTCTACTTGATCTTTCCATCTAATAGGTGGCCTTCCCCTTCTACGGGAACCATCATTAGGCTCGCTTTTATATGCTTTTTGAGCTGGGGCATTCTCTTTCATTCGCACAACATGGCCTAGCCACCGTAGCCGGTGCAGCTCTATACGACTGACAATGTCGATGTCCGCGTATAAATTGTAGAGCTCGTGGTTCATTCGACGCCGATATTCACCATCGACGCAGATCGGCCCGTAGATCTTTCGGAGAATTTTTCTTTCAAACACCCCAAGAGCTGTCTCATCTGCTTGCGCAAGTACCCATGCTTGAGATCCACGGGTAGTATCAGTGTCTTGTATAGTGTGAGTTTGGTCTGGCGGGAGGTGGCCTTGTTTCTAAACTGCTTACTTAGACCATAGTAGCATCTGTTGCCCATCACAATTCTTCTCCGAATTTCAAAACTGATGTCATTCGTTTTATTTATGGCGGTAACAAGGTATATAAAATCTTTAACTACCTCGAAGCTGTAGTTCTCAAGTTCCGCAGTTAGTCCGAGTCTACTGGACGTCTTGCGCGTTGATACCATCAGCTTGGTGTTCTCGCCGTTTACTGCCAGACCCACTTTGGAAACTCCTTCTCAATTTGTTCAAGGGCGGTTACCGTTCACAATGTTCGACCCGTTATGTCGATGTCGTCGGCGTAGGCGAGTAACATGTCATGTTTGGTGTACAGAATGCCATTTCTGTTCACCTTTGCGTCTCATATGACCTTTTCCAGCAGGATGTCAAAAAGATCACACGACAAACTGTCACCTTGTCTGAATCCTCGTTCGGTATTGAAGGGCTCCGATAGGCCCTTTCCGACTTTAACTTCCCCTATATGCTGAAGAAAGGTGTTCTATAAACAAAATACGCTCTAGGAGTCTTTAGATAGATAAAATATCTATAAAGTGAAGATCTTCAACAGGGGTTCTATGGACGGAAAATCTACTGCAAATTTTCCGTAGACAGAATCCTTTCTAAAGATGTTTTTGGCAAAAGGCCTTTAACAGGTCTCCTATAGTAAAATGACATTTTACAATTCTGATATAATCAGAAGTCATTCTACAGGTTATCTATGAATTGAACACTCTTTAAAGCTCTGTTTTACATGAACTACCTTAAACAGGACTTCTAAAAAGAAATACCTTCTATTGATATTCTATAAATATAACTCATTCTAAGGACTTATAAGACAACTGTTCTTATATATTTTTTTAGAAATCTGCTATGGACCCTCAATAGGTTTTTTATTAAAGAAAACTTTTTAGGACATTTTCAAAAGACCTCCTAGCTTCTTCTATGGATAATATATAAAACATATTCAGCCCTAAATAACAAACATTGCACCAGCCTTCCATATCTAACAATTCCTTCTAGAAATTGCACTCAATGCTCGAAATACCTCATCTACATTTGTATTACCACCCACCTGACATCACGAAATGAAGCTACAATATTACCTTTTTAAAAGAAAAGAATTAAAAATGAGAAAACAAAAGAAACAAATCGTATATCACATTTCCTATTTCTTATTTGCTATTCTTTATTTTGTCGCTTAAAGAAGACTCCACAAAATACCAAATTTAAAATCAATTTTAAAAATGCGAAACAATAGCCTCTGTTCTAGGTCCTTTTTTATTATAGTTGTGACACTTTAAAACCAAGTGTATTGTTTTTATTGAATTGCAGCAGCAGCAGCGAACAAGCATAGAGCGAACGACTAACGAACGAACAATAGTCAAATCAATGACGTGACATTACACTTGGCACAATGGTCAAAAGACAATGGTCTGATGGTGGCGAACAAAAGAATTACCAACAACGACTTTGCAATATTGCAGTGCAGAAAACAATACAATGCAAAGAATCGGCTACAATTTGATTTCATTAGAAATGGGAGACAATAGAAGAAGTCAGGTGTCCAACAAATTATGAGGACACACTTGACACAATTTTAGCAGGACATCTGGCAAATCACAATTCATTTCAATTCAATTGATTCTTTTATTTTTTGTAACGGAAACTGTTTGAAATAAAAATGACAATTGAAGGTACAGTCTAACAGGTTCATGAAATACGATGATCTCTAAGAGGTCAATAGGTGATAGAAATCATGTATACCAAATTAAAAGAATATTATCAAGAGCCGAATATTAAGAAATTAAATATTGTATATTATTGTATTAATAATTTGTTAAATAATACCTCAAATCAATATTTAAGTATTTTAGTATTCATCAGAGGCATTAACGATTAAATATTACTGCAACTTAATATAAAACTGACCCCATAGCTCCTTCTTTTTCTGGATCATTGATTTTTATACCCTACACAAGGCATTATAGCTTTCTATGGTCACAAGAGTTTGTAACGCCGTTAAATATAGGTATTCAATTCAATTTCAATTGTAATTTGTGAACCCGATACAGGCCATAGTTATAGGCCGTCACATCGTCACAAAATTTGCATGTAGGAAGGGTTTTGGCCAAATAAGACACATGTTGTTTTTCGTAATGATCGGTCGCTTCATAGACGTTAATATCTCGAAATTTTACAGGGGGAAGGGGAATGACGATCTGCCAAAATTTTGCTGGTCAAATGGACCGAGACTTTAAATTGATACCAATTATATTGGGGTATGTCGTTGGTTGTGGGAGTTTTTTTAACTAGGGCCAGGAAAGCTAGATCTGATAGCTATGAAAATTTGCAATTATCAACCGAACATTACAAATTTTTCATGCGGAAGGCAATTTGACCAACTAATCAATATTTTGTGCGTCATATGAATCAACATTTTTTTGCGTAAAATTGCAAAATTTGAATCACATGGGGAGCGTTTTTATTCCGGAAAAACATGATTAGGAAAATATGTTGCAGGCGAGCTGTTGACATCTAATCGATCAACAGAGTGCAAATATCGCGAAATATTGTCCAGGCTCGAAATATAGAAACTTAGAGCTCAGTAATAGTTGTGTAGGGTATCATATGGTCGGCCCGCTCCGACTATACTTCTCCGCTCACTGTTTTTATTATATATTTTTGTTAGAAAATGCTCGATATTGGTCAACCCATACTTCTAGAAATGCTGTATTACTTACGTAGTTCTTCAGCTTTTTCCATCATTTCCCAAGATTTGGCTCCGAAGAATTACAAAAGCTGGGCAATGAGATAGAAAATCTTCTACTAATTCCTCCATTAATTCAATTTAAGACATTGGAAGGTTTGGCTTTATTCGGGTCTATAGATTGACTTTTCATTGCCTATAATCCCTTTAGTACAAGACCGTGTTTGGGAGATACTCCAGGGGTATTTTTAGATGTATATGTTTTGGATGATATTGCTATGCTATGCTATACGTCAGGATATTTTCTTTTTTTGTTTTAGTCTAGAGCTTGAACTTCACCAGTTAATATACTCAGTTATGGTTTGAACCTCCGTTCTAAGCATCTTATTGTGATCTAGCGGGCAATGTGAAATTTAAGTACCCGGTTCTTCTATGAAGAGCCTCAATCTCATTCTTCATTTTAGCCGAGAGCTTTCTTCTTTCTCCTGTGTAATATCAGTTTCTGGTATCATATTGAGATATATCGGATTAGTTTCACTTTCCGCCCTTTCTGCTATCCGAGAGTATGTGGTATTTCGCGTTTCATGTAAGTTTTCCTAAGGTCTAATATATGTGTGCATATTGTGACCTGTATCGATCCACTACATCTTAAAAATGCGACTTGAAGCTGTTTCATATTTTAGATTTAACTTTATTTCATTTGGTATATCACTTTTGGCTTTGACTTTAACCCGTTACAGTATTGTATTTCCATATAATATTCCCAGAGAGCTATTCATATAGTTATCACTTTTGTTTGAAATATTGGCTCTTCATACTATCTCATTGACCTTGTCCAGCTAAAACCGATATTTAACATCAATTCAGGCAATTTGCATAGTAAGTTTTAAAATTAGAACGTCGTTTGGATGAATATACAATACGAGGGCAGTTCGGAAAGTTCTTAGCCTAGTACAAAAACGCTTTATAAACAGAAAACAGTTAACTGTTTTGGAAGCTTCAATCTCTGTTATGAACACATGATAAATTTTGTTTCGCTCTGGCAACTCCTTCATAGAGAAGGAGGTATTTTTTTACAATACAATCTTTCTAACAATCGGTTAGGACTTAGCCCAGAAAAATACGTTACAGCTTTCTGTATAGTAAGTTTGAATTTTTCCCCTAAGAAGTATTAAAAGATCGTCGGCATAATAGACTGGATCAAAACCTTTCTCGGTTAGGTTCATTAACAGGCTATTCATGGTATTAACCTTCAGAAGTGCTGATAGAATCCGACATTTCATACTTTGCCCTCGGCCTAGTCTCGCCAATTGAAGGCGACATTTTATGCTGTGTCCGTTTTTTGATTCTTTCTACATAGAAGTAATGAAAAGCCATCTGCAGAATATACTGATTCCAATATCCTCTCGGATAAGTTTCATAAGAGACTATTTATAGTGCCAGCCCACAGAAGTGTGATAGAATCCCTCTCTTTGCGGGGTTCATTGCCCTAATTTGGGCCTGAGATTTAGGTCGTGTTGGTTGCAGCTTATCCATACCTAATATATGTTATATGTACCTATTTAACTCGATGTACACATTTTCATAGCTAAGTTTTACTCAATAGGTTTGTACACATTTAAAATACTTTGCTTCTTTTATGTTTTTGTCGGAAACTCATTTTGTTGGGTTACCAGTGGCGTCGTTTTGGCAATCTTTGATGACGATCTTTATGGTCAGTGTCTGAAAAATCGTCAAAAATCCATATTTTAGCTTGGCTTGGGGAAACTCATATCACAAAATGCTATAATTCGTAAACAAATGACCCGAAAGTTGTCAAATTAAAAATAATCTTGAATGTTGGAGCAACCTAAAAGAACATGGACTTATAATTTTTATCATGCCTGGAATTTTTGGTCGATTTGTTAAATATATATTTTATTATTTAATCAAATATTCCGTATTTCTTCTACAAATGTTTAGTATTTTTTTTTTATAGATTGGTACATAATTTGCACGTCTCATTTAAAGTTTGAGCTACATTTTTTAGTTAAACTACTAAATGCTTCCTACATTCTTAAAACGACAAAAAATAAATAAATAAAAATTTCTAATGGCAATGCGAAAAATATTCACCCGATTGTATTCGGTCCACGAAACAGTTGCTTACTTTGCTAAAAACAAGGTTGCGATATTAAAAATATTGTAAACCGCTAATTTATCAACGTTGTTCAATGGCACCCTCTTCCCTAAACACTTTTTTGAGTTTGAATTTTTTATATGTGTTATTTTTTTATATATTTATATTTAGGAGTGATCGATTACTCTCTTAAATTCCGTCACACATAAATTAATATAACTATTACAATATTTGCATTTAACACCTCTATTATTAAAATCGTATCCCCTAGTAATTGTACCGTAAGTCAAATGTACCCTCAATCATAACAAAAAATATTTGACAACCTTTCCCATCTCTCCCCATTACATCAAAAAAAATTTTGGCAATAGGCCTAAATTCGACCTTAGGTCAAGAACGCGCTAATTACATCATAGGTTCAACATAGCAGCACCCAATGAAACCCAGCATAGGCCAATAAGGACGCATGCAAGACACGAGTATATAAGCTTTGCCCAGGCCGACGACCAACAACATACACAAAACCCCCTACCAACCCAGAATCAAAGAAGAAGACGACAACAAAAAAGAAAGGATCATACGATGAGCGAACAAGTGTAGCCCAGCAGCAGAGGCAACAGCGGCGGCCAAACAAGGACACGCGTATTTGTTAGCTTGCTCCACAAACCATAACCATGGGAAACAACGCTCGACGCTCGTCCCCTTGCCAAAAAACAGATATGCCGTTGCATTTAATGTCAAGAAGAAAGCAGGAAACAATTAGATTCCTATGCAGTTCTTCTCATTACGAGTTGTTGTTCTTGTTGTTGTTGCTGCTGAAAAACAAAACACACACACACATCAGTGAAGAAAAAACGACAGCTGTTATTTTTCCTCAACGACGTTGAGATTGCTGCTCAAGGAGAAGAAAAATATTCCCAGGCTTTTGAAACAATGGGCCCAGGATTTCTTTGGTTGCTTGTGGCCAGGTGAGCAAATGATCGAGCAAATGAAACTTGCGTGAGAATATGGGAACGAAAGTGTTTCCCACGGTTAGTAAAAAAGGTCCTGACATGCCTTTGCATTAATTCTTCTACTTCCTTAAAGGTAAACAACAAACACCAGGGGACAACAACAATAAGGGTGCATTTGCCAGCTACACCACCAGCACCATTATCTGCCAAAGAAAGAGAGGGAGAGTTTTTGAAGAAACACACACAATAAGAAATGCCAGGGCAGACGGACAAGCACATGCTTGGCTTGGGCCTTTGCTATGGAATGGGGGTTGTTTCTTGGCTCTGCGCACACTCTCATTGTTCTTTGAAGGAATTTCATCAAAGAGTACACGGACGGCAACAACAACAACAGCTCACATTCCCTTAGTTCTCCAAAGTACGTGTTTGGGTTTTCAAAGATAGGGGTGTTTTGAGAGCCAAGTCAGAGCGCACCGGTATTTAAGCCGGCCGAGTGTGGAGTTATGCACACACAACGTCTTACGCTCTTCAAGCGACAACACCTCAGTTTTGTTTTCGTTAAAAAATAATTTTATAAAAACACACACAAAATGTCTGTACAAATGTCGGAAATGTCAAAAACCTACCAATACCGCAAAGTGATGAAACCAATGTTGGAACGTAAACGCCGTGCTCGCATCAACAAATGCCTGGATGAGTTGAAAGATTTAATGGTGGCCACATTGGAATCGGAAGGTGAACATGTAACCCGTTTGGAAAAGGCCGATATCTTGGAATTAACTGTAACACATTTACAAAAAATGAAACAACAACGTTTGGCCAAAGCCTCCAGCGGTGCCAGCAATACCATGTCCCAATCGGAAGGTTTCCGTTCGGGTTACATTCATGCCGTCAATGAAGTATCACGTTCGCTATCGGAATTGCCAGGAGTTAATGTTAGCTTGGGCACACAATTGATGACACATTTGGGACAGCGTTTGAATCAATTGCAGCCTCCGGTGAAGCCATCTCTGCCCTTGAGCACCCCATTGTCTGTGCAGATTGCCGCTCCCACCTTCAAGGGTCAATACACTGTACCAATTTCACCTGTATCCAGCTACAGCAGCAGTCCCAACTCAAGTGTGGGCAGTGAGAAACACTCGAATTCCCTGTTGACCACTTGTCCCAGTACACCAGCCATTGATGTGACCAGCATTGATGTCGACGATGAGGATGAGGAAAATGTATGGCGTCCTTGGTAAACAAGGATATAGCATTTGCGTTTCTAATCATCCCACCCACCCACAAAGTCTTCCATAATGTTTTGCAACCCAAACAGGTTCTTGACATCACCAACTACACAAAAAACAACAACAAAAAGCTTTAATAACAAACAAATGAGATATCGAACGAGAGAGAATGGCTACCGATTACCATGATCATCATTCACCATCATCACCTAGATTTAATTATTTAATTGATAGTTCAACTTTAGTTTAATACAACTTGTGATAGAGTTTAGCCTTCCAATTCCAAAACACTCATACACATCATACATCATATAAATATTACATACACTAACTCATTTATAAAACACATAAAAACCCACCACACATTGTTAATTTATTTAGTTTTGTAAGAGATTTTTTTTTTATTTAAAAAATATTATTTAAAATGAAAGATGAAAAAAAAAATAATCATGAATTTAAACAAAAAACATAATTGGAATTTTTTATTTGAAAAAAATTGGGATATGGGGGAAAAAGTAAAAAAAAATTGAAAAATTTTAAAAAAATATGAAAAACACAAATCAGAATAAAAAAATTGCAATTTTTATTAACAAATGAAATAACTTTTTCTCACTTAATAAAGCAAAACAAAAGGTCGAAAGTTTTTTTATTACAATTAATACTATTGTTAAAAATACAATAATAATATAATAAAAAATATATAAAATAACGAATAGTAAAAATATTGCTTTAAAAAAAAATTTTATTAACAATGCTTGGGATTTTTATATATTTTTATATATTATATTATATATGATAATTTTATTTTTCAAATAAACTAAATTTAATTTATTTTTTGACAAAATTTTAATCATATTATAATTAAATATTTATTATATATGATTTTTAAATAAATAATCTTTTTTATAAATGTATAAAAAATAAAAATAATATTTTAATATATTATATTAATAATAGACAAATTATTTATTGCTCTATATTAATATTATATTTGCTATTTAAAAAATAATTTTTATATACAAATTATTACACAAATTATAATTCTTTTCATTATAGAAATATTCTATATAATATTTTTTTTTCAAAAAATTCATTTTGATTTATTTGAAAAATTACTGAAAAATAGATTTTTATTTTTTTTTAAATATGTTTTATTTAAAAACTATTGCCAATAAATTATTACTCAAAAAAAAAATCTCCAAAATTATGCCAACTCATATAGGGGCTCCACACAAAAGGCCTATCATTTTTTTCTTTTCCTACTCGTCATTGTTTTTCCATAGAAAATTTTACCAAGAACAAAAAAATAAAAGAAAAAATCCCATTTTCATGGTGGTGATTAATTTTTCTTTTGCTCCCGATTTTTTTTAAAAATTTGTTCTTTTGTTGTCGTCGTCGTTTTTTTATTTCTTTTAAGGAACGCACGTACGTACCAACTCAATAGAACATAGTATCAAAATCTCTTTGAAACAACAACAACAACTAAAACACAATTTTGTGAAATTAAAATCCTGTATTTTTAGTTTTGAACACGTGTTCGGTCAGACAGAAAACATACACACGCAACGAGGCACACGAATACAAACAAGGCTTCTTAAATCCATGTGACCGGCCATTGAAGCAGCGAGTCAGAATCCAAAGTAAGGCGTAACAATTGATCGGTAATTGTTTCAATCACAAGGAATATTTCCAAAAGAACTAAAAAACAACAACACACACATAGACAGAATTCTTTTAATGTTCCAAAATAAACGCTGATCCCTAAAGGAACACAGCCAGAACAACAACACAAAATAATAACAACAACAAAACCCTATGATAAGATCTATGGAAAGAAAATCAGCAGAGGAGGCAGCATTACTACAGCAGCGGCGTATCTAATCGGTGTTTATTGTGGCGACGACTTCTTCGTCGTTCTCCTTGCCTGTATTGGCTTCAGCCAGTCACTCAGTCCATAGGGGGTGCCAAGCAGCAGCAACAACAGCACCATAACCAGTGACGATGGCCTACCACACTCCTTCTTAAGTCATCGTTGTTATTTTCTTCCCTTCAACATCGTTTACTAGTCCAAATTTCGTAATCAATGATCCATTGAAAAGATAATCACTTCTCCCAGCCCTTCATGAAGTGACAGAGGAATCGAACGAAAAAAAATAATCGATCTTTGCTGGAGATTTAAAGATTTTCGTTCCAAATATACGACTAACACTTTGTTTACTATGAAACAACACAATGATAACAATTAACATGGTGGTAGGTACAGAGGGAGTGAGGGAGGTAGGTAGGTAGGTAATTTGGCAGAAATATAGAATATCTGTAAAATTTTTTGCGACATCTTAAAGATTAGATGACGTCTTGTAACACCATTGATAGAGAGGGGGATGAAGATTAAAATTGATAATACATAATTAGTAAAGGTGCGGGTTCTACCCGTCCAGGGTGATAATTTTTATCGAATCGTCTATAGGGGAAATTTAAAGCATTTGGAATGTAGCAGAGCGATTGAGTCTTATTATATGGGGGTTTTTTGACAAAATGATAACCGAGAAAATTTTGTGGAAAAATTTTTGGTTTTCTCTGATAACCAAAAATCGACAAATTTTACAGAGGCATTACTGCGAAATCGTTTGTCAGAAGGACTAAAAATGCCAAATTCTAGACCTTTGCGACCATTTTGACTAAATTCTCTAAAAATATTGCTGCCTCCATAAGCTGATTTTTATCGAAGAAGATTTTCTGCAATCATGAACATGAGAGTCCACAATACTGCGAAATATATGAGATGATCAGCGTAAAATACTGAAATATATATATATATATATATATATATAATGGGATGAGTCCTTTACATGGACCTATAAAATAACATGCGATAATAAATTGCAGACTTTTAGGTTAGAAAATACAGATAAATTGTTATATTTAAAATGCGGAAGGACCTTTTTTGGTGGCTATTTAAAAGTCTGCAAAGAAGAGCCATATTGTTTTATTTTTGTCTGGTCGCTCCAGAGGCCGCAATTATGACCCGAACATCACGAAATTTTACATGGGGCGGGTCAAATGGAAGCAGATTTTTGTGTAAAAAATTGCGAAATTTGCATACGTATATATTACAGGTTGAAGGATATAGTGCTATACTTAAACTTTACCGCCATTGTATTACTATTACCACACTAGAGGGCGCAAATGTAGCACTGATGGCTAGGAAATTTTGCATGAGATTCAGATTATGTTCAAGGACGACGCCTATAATTTTCGATGATGATCACCTGATATTTCAGGAATGAAATAGACCGAAAAATTTATTTTTTGCCTCTTATTCAACTTATTCAAATGACAAAAAAGGCAATATTTAGCGGGCGAACTGATGCCGCTGAGGAGCGGTTGACATCTAATCGGCCAAGAGAGAACAAAAATCGCCAAATATTACCCAGGCTCGGAATATAGATCCGCGGAAACTGAGCGCTTTGTAGTAGTTGTGTATGGTATCATATAGTCGGCACCTTCGACTATACTGCTCCGATCACTGGTTTGTATATTCGCTAATATTATTCATTTGTGTGCTCTCAGATACCATTTCCATATGGAGGATTTTTTATGTGCGTGGGGGACTTCTTAAACCCCATCCTACTCCGATGCCACATACGCTCATGTGTAAACCTCAGAGCACACATCGAAAATGAGCCATGGATCTCCAATACTCACTTGCACACCAAACATACACCAATCCAATCCAATATTGGTGCATTCATCCTTTCCCTCTATACACGCTAATCGAGTGGTTAAACTAAACATTTATATTTGGTTGGCTAGGTTTTGTTGTCCTCCATCCTTCTCAATGTGTTTCTATGTGCCAGTCTTCACTGTATTGTGTTGATGTCCCCTCGTTGAATCTTAAATTACACTTGTATGGCTATGCTATGGGTGTTATACGATCATCACACAAAACCCAATGAATGTGGGTACGAATATTAGGGCAAATATGGAAAAAAACGTTTTTGGCAAAATTTGAAAATTGAGATAGTGTAAACAAAATGTAAAAGGAGAAAGGGGGAAAACTAGGGTGAGAGAAGTAGTGATGCGAGAAGGAATACCATAATTCCATGTTAATAGGTTGAAGTTTTCAAAATAATTTCATAAACATTTGATTGGATACTCCTTACCTTAAAAGTGGACGCAAAATGAGACTTTGCAATTTCATGCACAAAGAGTGTAAACTGTTGGACAATGATTTTCAATTTTGTTTCTCCTGATTTTAACCTGCAGATATGTCCAACCAAAAATGACAAAAATCGGCACATATCTTATATATCATTTTTCGATGTTACTTCATATCAACCATTCATTCAACCTAAAACCCTGCATTTAACGTCATTGACATAATTCATAGCATTCACTTTGGTGATCGCTTATCAGCGAAGAAATAGTCATTTACTGTTGACAATAATTTAAAGGTTCCCCCTTATTATTTCTTCTTGCCACGATGATAATCAACAAGTTCGGTGGTAATCTTTTGGTGACCATCAATAATAAAATTAAAAAAATACCACGATTGTTATATTGTTTTTTTTTATGACACGGACCAGTGTCAACATCATAAAGCCTAACATGAACGAACCCTTTTTTTATTTTCATGATCGTGTAAACAAACCTGCGAACACAATGAATCAGGTTGTAATGAAATATGTGTTTTTTTCTTTAAATACGAGTCGTTTGGACAAAGTGAATTGTTAAATACTATCATTGAAAAATAAATATATGACACATTTTTTTTATTAAAAAAAGTCACTTCTACAAAAAAAGCTTAAAAATATTATTTTAAATCCTGGCTAAAACAATTCTTCCTTATTGTTAGGCTTTAAATATGTATATGTATTAGCGATCTACACATAAGGCTAAGCTTGAAAAATATGTTTAAGGCATCTTCGCCCAATGCTAAGCTTGAAAAAATATTTTTTTTAAATCCACGCTTATAGCTAGGCTTGATTTCCTTTAATATTTTTTTTTTTACAA